CGTTAATTATTCATTTACCGCAAGTTCCACACACTCGTTCATTTGCTTACTACACACCTTTTGTCAGATACTGACTCATGACTCACCTACTATTTCATGTCCCATACACCTTTCTCTGTTTCAAACAGAACTGAGGAGGACTGAGTGCCTACCCAGTAGGCTCAGTAGGTAAGTGTGGTCGTCGCGTCTACTTTCCAAAAAAAAACGCTCGAAAAAGCAAAGAACAATGTAAAGTCTCTGCGTTAAGAAAAGTAATGAAAATATTGAGTCTATCCATTGGTTTATTTTTAGGTATTTGTCTTACATTGGCGTAATTAGAGGGTAAATGTTTGCTAAGAATAGTTGGGAATAAATAACGAGAGGACTCGTGAATGTTTATGCATGACGGGCAATTTAATTTTATTTGACGTAACATATTCAACGATATAACGTATGCGTATTAATATTCGAAATACACATCGATTTTTGTATAGACATCCACAGTTCGGCGAGTAGTATGTAAAATATGATCCATATTAAAAGTAAGAAGCAAACCGTGGGCAAACATTTACTTTGATATATATAAAAAATGTACAACGGGTTTTTTTTAAAAGTAAATAACGTAATACGTAATGTGTCGCGTAAATCATGCATTTCTATCTTTGTTGTTGTTATCGATAAAGCTTGTTGTTAATGTCATCTCTCTATTTTTTTCTGACAAGTCCGTCCCTATCGATGGTTATCAAGGTAATGCTAATCCCATATTATATCAATACTCCTCATATTTTGTATACTTGTCTTTTGTAACTTTTGAAAGATCTGGTTTTGCATATCATCCGCGCCTGCGTTCGTTAGTTAGCACTTAGGATCGAAGATATCGTTAGAAGTGTATGAAAAACCAAATCTCTCAAATGAGTGATTATTATGTAGTCGGTTTGTTAGCTATAGCCCGATATTGTGACTTTCACCTGTATATGTATCGTTGTACTTATATTTTTTATTACTTAATTCACTTGGGATTGCAGTGAAAGATTTAAGAACAAATATATTGTCATAATTTTTCATTGTTTTTTATATATATCATATTGAAATGTTTACAATAAATTTCCTATACGTATACACGTTCGTACAAATTAGTTCCTATTGTTTTCTTAAAAAAATCAGTACATTAATTATGAGAGATAGTTCAGTACAAAAGTCTCGATCGGGGTTGCGCATTCTCAATTGTTAAGTTTTCTTGTCCGTTACTTTTTCAATCGAATATTCGCTGAGAGCAGCAGATAGCTTGTATCGTTAGAATAAAGTATTTGTTTCACACACGGATACATTGTACTACAGCTTTCTTTATTGTCAGCACAAGGTATGCACTTGTCGACAGGAAGACGCCCACTGCAAGATTTAATAATAAATAAATAAATAAATATTATTAATGACAAACAAACAAATCGAAGTCGCCTTAAGCGAAACATAAAAAATAACGATAATCGAATTTCCTAGGTCGGAATCTCCAAAGGCTAGCAAGAAGAAAGAGAAGTCGAAGAAGAAGAAGAAGGAGAAGAAACACAAGAAGACTGAGGCTAGTTCCTCTGATAGTGACTCCAGCGAGGCTTCAGATGATAGCAGGTAAGTATTTGACTCGAGAGAGTGTTCGCTGAAATGTTCGAGAGATAACGTGTAATTTTATGTTCCATGTAGCTCTTCCGAAACTGAGTTGAAGAAGAAAAAGAAAAAGAAGAAGAAGAAGGCTAAGGCAGAGGCAAAAGAAAAGCATGAGGTAGGATAAAAATAATGCGACGGAAACGGATACGAAATTTCTATCTTCCTCTCTATACATTTACATATTTATAAATATATTATATATATATATCTCCATATATATATATCTTAGCACGTTAAGCAGGAGCATGTAACATTTACTTTCCGTTCCATTCTATCCTGAATTAGTTGTTAATTGAACATTGAATTCTTTTATCGAAAACTTTTGTGTTGCCGCCTAAACTCTTGAATAAGCATGATCTTCATTGCTTGTTTCTGTAAAGATTTTTATCTGATTTCAAGTTTTAACAGTTCATTATTTCAAAAGTGTAAATCTCAGTATTGTTTGTAATTATCAGCGCCATTTGACAGGATATATTCCCTGAGTGAGTACCAGATATGCCGCTACTCAATGTAATAAATAATTTTGTGACTTTTTTCTATTCGTACGAAGACTTTTTGCGATTGTTGTTGCCTTTTTCACTCGTTTTGTGTCAAGCACCATCACATTTGCGAAAGAATTACGAAGCAAGGAGACTGCTTGTTCCATAGGCGCGATGCGTTATAACGTTGAACTGCGATCTTTTATTTTCTTTACAACACTTCTCGCGAATAGATCGTAATCTTGAACGAGCGAATAAGCAGACTCCAAGAAATCTTTAAACAGTTACAAATCTCTTTTTTTATCCTACTAACAAAGTACTTTACAAATGCATGATTGGTGTACGCTAGATAACCCAGTCTAATTTAGTAACGTTGTTCGTTCTTCTTCTAGAAGAAAAAAGTAGCTGTCAAGAGGAAGCATCAGTCCTCCGAAAGCTCGTCGGATAGGTACGTTTTCAGTTTAGAATACGATATACACTTAAATATTCTTATATGTAATATACGAAATTTAATTGAATTTACAGCTCCCCGGAGAGACCAAAGAAGTCTATGAAACATGACAAAACTGTGGAGAAAGTTAAGAACGACGAGACGGAGAACGCGAGGAAAGAGTCTCGATCGAAATGTTCGCCAAAGAAACAAGAGAAGAGTCGAAACGAAACGACACCTCCTATTAGAAAGAAAGACTCTCCCATCAAAAAAGTAGTGCCAGAGAAAAGAGACAAATCGCCGATCGCGCATAAAAGTCCTCCACCGCGACGTCATAGATCACCAGAATCGAGAAACAGAGTCGATAGAACGAGATCGCCTAGAAGATACTCAAGATCTCGACGAATCAGTCCCTCGCCTAGGAGAAGAAGAATTTCGAGATCCCCGAGAAGATACAACAGACACTCCGTATCCAGAAGCAGAAGTCGATCAAGGTACGATCGCTATGGGTCGCGGCGTAGAATGTCACCACCCCCTAGACGCAGGAGGTCCGACTCACGAAGGAGATCGAGGTCACCTAGAAGACCGAGAGACAGAAGAGAAAGATCCAGGGACCGTCGCAGAAGTCGTAGCAGGACAAAGAGTAGATCTAGACGATCCACCTTGAGCTACTCTCCGGTAAGAAAGAATCCTGAGCGATATAAACACATACTAGAAGACAAGAAGAAACGTGACCAGAAAAAGAATCAAGACACCAACAAAAGGAAATCCCGGTCGAGCTCTAGAAATAGAAAAATCCAAACGATCACACCCAGAGTTAGGTTGCGATCTTCGAGCGAGGATGAAACTGACATAGCGGACGATGAGCCGAAAGCGGAGGATGAGGAGAAGATGAAGGAGCTGCATACTTTGAAACGATTGCAATGTGGATTAGCTGCGAAAGCTAGGGAATCTCTTGGAAAGAAAGTCATTAGTCCTACGAAGATAAAAGTGGAGAAAAAGGAAGATAGCGTTTTAGATATAGCTTTACCAAATGACCCGCCCAAAATGCCCGTACAGAATATCGTCGGACCGATGCAAGAAAAGTCACAGTCCCCCGTATCTCATCTGCCGGCGATTCAGTCGCCTGTCTCCAGCAGATCGCCATCGCCGGCGTTACCGTTGACCCGAGAAGAGGCAGCTATAAAAATACGATCTCCTAGTGAATCGCCTCCCCCGTTACCTCAAGTCTTAAACAAGGTGCCCGATTCACGGTCGCCAATCATGACAGCTAAAACGAATCATCGTTCGAAATCCCCTCCGAATACCTCTCAGAAGAATTCGCCCGTTATTCCAAGAAAACAGACACAAAGTAAATCGCCATCGCACTCTCCGCCAGTCTCTCACAAAGACAGTATAAAGTTACGTTCACCGAGTGAATCGCCGCCACCTCCAATATCAAGCAACAAGGCGAAACAGAGCACCTCGAAGAATTCTCCGGTCTCCAAGAAGCATTCGCCGAGGAATAAATCTCTCTCCATGTCTCCTTCCAGATCGTACACGAGATCTGTGTCAGTAGAGAACAAGTCTTCCAAATCGCCCAGGCGTCGATCGAGGTCCGCTTCTAGAGAGAAGAAGTCGCGTTCCGCATCGAGGAGCAATAAATCGGCATCGCCTAAGAGACACAGGTCATCGGCATCACCGTCGAGACCTAAGAAGTCTCCTAAATCCCCGGCTAGGACCAAGAGGTTGTCCAGGTCAAGGTCATCCTCGGAATCGAAGCACTCGGCATCTAGATCTCCGTCACGCTCGAAGAAATCCCTGTCGCATTCACCGGAGAAGTCACGATCTAGGAGCAGGACCAGATCGTTATCGAAACGATCGAGAAGTCGTTCTTTGTCGAAGAAATCCAGAAGCAGATCTTTGTCGAAGAAATCGCGTAGTCGATCGTTGTCGAAGAAGTCTAGGAGTCGCTCGTTGTCGAAGAAGTCGAGGAGCCGTTCGTTGTCAAAGAAGTCTAGGAGTCGTTCGCGATCACTATCCAGGGTATCGAGGGATAAAGAAAAGAGGAGTCGGAGTAGAAGTAGCTCGCGTTCTTCTTTGAGGTAAATAGTATTTACGAGTACTTTAATTAAATTCTAATGATCATCGCTAATTGATGTTTTCGCATTCAGTTCGAGGCATAGTCGCAGAAGTTTCTCTAGTTCATCAAGATCATCGAGCAGCGTTTCTAGCAGGTCCTCTCGTTCGACGTCCAGCAGTTCAGCTTCTAGCAGGTCTCGTTCCCCTTCGATACCCCGACGTCACGGTTCACCCAGTTTCCTAGACAGACGTCGAATCACGAGGTACGTTGGTATAGGCCGGTAGTTTCGATATCGTAGCAACAGAATTTTACAGTATCTAAACCACGCCTAAATTTTGTAAGTCCACGTCGTTTGCATCGATACGTAGAAATTTTTATTTCATTTTATTTGAGTTTATTTTAGTTTATTCGTCAGCGATGTCTCCCTCACACACTTGAGTTTTCTTTTTGAATTCACGTAACAAGCTTGAAACAAATATTTCGTAAAGCGACAATATTGTTACGCGTAAAATAAGTTTACGATGATTCGCGTGTAAGACCCCCTTTTTTTTCTTGCATTAATCTAATGCCATTTTATGTTGTGTCCTACAGGGACAGATCGAGGGACAGGCATAGAAGATAAAGTTACAGCGTCGCACAGATGTTTCTAATTACTTTCCTACAATTTACGATATAGTAGCAAATATACGATACGTAATGAATTTAATTTTTTTGATGAGTGTGATAAGAAAAAGAAACACACGAGGCGAATTTGTTATTGTAAGAATAGTACGCTAATTAATGAATATTGTCTGTTAGTTATATGATTATTCCTTGATCAGTAAATAACTTCAGTAATTTTCTAAGAGCTATCGTATACACTCGTGTATGCATTCTGTTCAATCACTAAACTCGTCTGCGCAGATTATGCGTACTGCGTCGCATCGATATACGAATATGAATATCATTTCAAATCAGTCTAGTATACATATTTACATTTGTATGATTTCTCATTTTTTTCTCTTCCCTCTTTTTTCATTTGTATTCAATCGCTTATGAAATGAACTATAAATATCGTGTAGACGTAGCATGCGTGTATTTCCCTCATAAGTTATTGTAAATTATGGATATTTGCAGTAGAGATTCTCTTTTATTTTATGTCAGTCACAAATAAAATATATTTACCGCTATGGAAGCAAGCATTTTTTTTATTTAGCTCTACATATACTATTTTTCATTGTGTTTTTGTGAATCATTCTCAATCCACTCCGCGTATCTTCAAGCTCATAATCAGGTAAGTGACACATCTTTATTTTTGCATGGTATTTCTGTTGCATTGCATGGTTTATTTCGCACGTACATTTTTAGTAATTGCTAACGATAAATTTATATAGATATTAATCCTGATAAAGATGTTTTGACAAGAGGATCTGTTAGAATTGATACGTGTAAAATTTCGTAATTAATATTTAACGAAGTTTAACGAGCAAGATTCATTTTCATTAATGTAATATACGTAACGAGAAGATTGTTAACAGAGGATATTGACAGCCGTTAATTTTAGCGCCAGGAAACGGCCAATTCCATATCACCGACCTACACCGACTCCACCTTCGTCACCGAGTAGTTCAGATAGCAGCAGACATAGTAATTGGTCGAGTCCGAGTCACCGGTCAAGTTGTTCCCCGAGTCGCAGCCCATCGTACACACGTTGAAGCCACCAAGTGGAATCCCTTCCAAAGAAAGATCGACGTTCCTTACGCGCGTCAGATTTGGAATGGCTAACGAAGGTCTATCGATGCTTTTTTTTAACAGTCGTTCGACCTCGCGTTTGTAATGTTAGAAATTGGCTTGACGCCATTCTAAGTTTGGTGCATGATCTTCAAGTCTTTGTAAATTCTTACTAAGCATTTACACGTTTGATCTCATGATTCAATAATACTCATGGATGGTGATAACGAACCAAGATACCATCAGCTTCAATACTGATGCATTTCTCGTTCACTTAATTTCTTTTTGTTAGACATACTACTCTTTTTTCGTACTAACTCTAGTCATAACACTTTATTGTTTTAGAAGGCAGTGTCTTTTGCTTTGTTGAGATTTAAACGATAAAACTTTAATGCAATGATACTTTTGTAACATTGCGTACAAGATAATCATGGATTATGTTGTGTTATAATTTTAAAAATCTCTTCTCACAGACTTACGTACGTCTACGTACCTAAGCAATAATAAGACAATGATGAGTTTAACCGTCATGCATTGATTACAGTAATTATTCTTAAGATCTCGCATTATCAACATAGCTATCGGATCATTAAATTCATTTACAACTACTTCAGTAGTTTTACGTTCGCATGATTATTTAATCATGTAATTGTTTGTTATACAAACAACAGCTAGTCAAATTTTAGACATTCCATTAACGATTGAAACACTAAAACATCGTTTCGAGTCGATCTATTAATTTATCGAGTAATTAATAATTTATATTTCTAGTGCAATGTTCTACATATGTTTTTTTTGTACATAGATATTATTGTCGTGCTTAAATTTAAGCACATAGCTCATTTGCTTTTTACTCTACGTACTTTTATTCAATGTTCAAGAACTACATATGTATTTATTTTCTAACTTATTTATTTATTTATTTATTTACTTATTTATGTAAATCACGTCCAGCTAGTCATTTTGCCAGTTATTGAGGCAAAACCATATAAGAGTTGAGGGAGAGAGAGACGTTAAACTCTTAATTAATTTTGCAATACTCAAATTCATCTGAATACTAGTCAGAGAATGTTTCTTTTATTTTGGCTCTGAGGCCAGGCAGCGTACCAAAAGACATAATTAGATTAGTCATGATTATTCGAAGTTAAGTCTTGAAAAAAAAATGTATGTATAGGGTTAACGAAAGAAGTCATATTTGGAAAGTCTACATTGTTTATAAGTAGAGAAAGGAAAACTAAGTAGAATTAGTTCTCGTATAATGACTGACTCGATTTTATTGAAAATGGGAAGCCGTCGATTGCTATGGTGTTGCAATACTGATTCTATCTCGATGCATATCCTTCAAACTAAAACGTAACTGTGTGCATTGTGGATTTACAGTTTATAAGATTAGTATTTAAAACGAAGATTGAAAAATTCGTTCCGTCGCTTGATTGGTATAAGTTTCATATAATAATGATTTGAAGTGAAAACAGGAGGCTTGTTGAATTTTGCCCACCATGGCTGTTGACTTTAACATTCATTATTCATAATTTACAGCCATCGAATGTTACCATCGTTGAAATGGAAGAAATTCTGATTATATCTGTAATATACTCTGTATTGTTGTTGTGTGATTAAATTAAAAATCTTAAAAGACATCGTTCCTTCCTTCAAAACACTTAAAAAAGTTTATTTGTACGCGTTTCTTGGATTATGTATGATTTACATATTTAATTCTGTACTTAAAATTATCAAATGGCATAATTCTATATAACAATATTCGATTCAGAATCAAATGTCTATCATTGGAATGAGAATATTTACATAATTATTAAAATATATGACCAGTTGACAAGTATGAACACCATAAACTATGTTTTAACATGTAATGAGCAATTACACTTGGAAATTATTTTCTTGTTCCAGTCGCCTTTGACTGTTTAGTTCTTTGTTGTGCGAGGTATATAGCCCAAAAGAATCCGATCAGGTTCACGACCAGAACGCGTAACTAAAATTAACGATGTCTCGAATAGTCATTCCTTAGTTTCAAGGCTTAAAAGACTATAAAACTTACCAGCGGTGGCACATATTTTAAATTGATGTACTGGAGTAATGTTAAATATTTTAAATTAGCAGTAAGTACTGGCAAGTACAATCTTTTCGTTTGCTTCAATGCTTCATTATGTGGATTGCCCTGTAGTAAAATTAATTTCAACTGTACTAACTGAAAAATTGATGAATGACACATGTAAAAACGAACATACCTCGAATATAGATAACATGTACAATGCTAATGCTTGATAGCAAGGTGTATATAGGCACCTCTCTATTAACAAAAGTATGAGAGGATTTCTCACAAGTGGTTGTATAAATGTATAAAAGTAATGTGGAAGTGGACCACCGAAGAACAACCTACAGAAGAGTAGTACTTTGGTATAATGATTACACAATTATAATGACGTTCTAATTTGTTTAAACGTACCCGAAAAGTGCGAACGCGAGTAAACTGTCCTCATTGATGCGTTTCGTACCGGAGATTTTCTGCGATATATAATTACCCAGAGTGGCGATAATGCAACTGAAAAAAGAATTATCGATCGAAAAAAGAATTTATGATAGAAGAACCGAGAATAATTTCATTATAACATACCTGGTGATTGCTTTAGTTTTCAGCGGGCTTGTGTAAAGACGGTCGAAATAAACGCTGGTAAGATGAAGAAGTAAATTCGTGGGTTTTGAAAGAGCCATTCTTTTTCTTCAACTCGTAGCGCTCCGTTGCGTTAAATAATGTACGTAATAAAAGAGAAGCGAGGTAGCGAGTAGCGAGGCTTAAACGTAATATTTCGCAAAGTATGGACAACAAGCGATTTGATAACAAACTGTAAATTATATAGCGAAAGTAAAAACGTTTCTTTGTATATACATGTATAGTTCACATACATGTATGTATCTCCTAATTGCAAGTCATTAACATAATCTTCGTGTTATCGAGCACGAGATAAAAATAAAAATTAGTAATTCATACAACGTTCAACATACATATTTGTTGTCTGATGTTGAAATTGATAACTTTCGAACTTTTTAAGTGGTCATAGTACGTTCGATAACTTTTGAAAGTGGTCCAGGACTTAGGATATTGCACATATACATAGTCAAATAGTCAAAAACACATATATCAATACATAGTCAACAGTGGTCAACATACACAAAAAGTCGTAATCGTTGCTTTTTACGTTGCTACGATATTGAAATATATTACATTTGCGTCATAGTTTTGTACACTCTGCTGACTACTCTAACAACGGGATCTGAAGTGTGAACACTGTGAACTGTCTGTGAAGCAGAGTTCGGTTCGAGAGAGATGCAAAAATCAATGTTTTGTGTGTAACCTTAAATTAAACGTTAAACGATGGCACAAGGTAAATTGAAAGTAAAAGCCAAAGTGCCACCGTTAAAAGGAAAAAATAAGGATAAGAATAAAAAGGGACCGGCGATTCAACGACGAAATAGTAAGTTCATTTATTTATTACAATTTGCCTTGTAAATCATTGTTCAATGATCATGAACAATAATGCTAGCGCTCTGGTTTCATTTTCAGATGCGCCAATTCAGCCTAAAAAGAAGAAATTGGAAGAGACCCACAAGTTGAAACAAATGATAACCAGAACAGTGAACAAAGCAATGGAAGATGAACTAAGGGAAAAAGCCTTGGAAGGAAAGAAGTCGCTTACGAAGAAGAATCCATCAACCACGAAAAAGAAGTAGTCTGTAACATTATTTGATGGCTCGTAATTAAGAAAATAAAAGCTGAACATATTTGGATCAGGTATAATTTATTGTATTATAATAGGGATGCGTGTAACAGGGAAACACAGTACAAATTGATCAGTTTATTACGAGTAAAGGTCTTTAATTTATATCGTTACCCCATAGAATAACTCTGAACATGAAATTAATGGCACAGTGATTTACATAATATAAATATAGAAAAAGAACATTTTTTCATTAAGTGCATCTTTAACACATCTCACAATAAGTTATTGTATCTTGTGCGATAATACAGTACAACAATTTTTTGGAAGGCACAGAAATTTCGTTTCCTTTTTTCCTTTCTCTAGTTGATTCGTATTGCTAACGAAAGGTTTTATGCTTCGCTGAGTGTTATTTATAAAAATAAACATTATCTCACAAAATATTTTACACAACTCATACAACAAGGTACAAAACTGCGAGTGTCATTTGTTAAATGGACTAAATTTGTATATATTATATTTTCTTAATAGTCTTCCACTTTAGATCACATGATCAAGGCTGCTTTACTTGCGTATCGTGTCGAACGCTTAGTTCTAAGTACAAAATCACCTGATGTACTTTCCAGACATTAGGGAGACATCACCACCTATAATGGAAATTATTTCAATTTTTATTCGTATTATATTTCGAAGAATGTATTGTATTTACCACTAAGTGTCCACTTTGTCTGTTTTTGCTAATATTCGGTGCCTTTCCGGTTTTGAATTCAATTACGCCTTCTTTACCGCTGACTAGTTTGTGTGAGACCCTAGAATTCGAATTTTCATTATATATCCGTTGTTAACCATATAAGTAATTTTCTGTTGGCATACTTACGATTCGGTATTAATAATTTTAAGAATACTCGGATTATTAGTGACATCGATTGCTTTCGTTAGCGCTTCTATTGTATGTGGTACTTCCAAGATTAAGTCACCCTAATTAAGATGATCCGATGATAATAAGCCACGACAATTTATTTAGGTTCATTTAACAATATAATGATAGCAAACCTTGTCTTTTTTTAATTCTGGTGGTATCCTGACGATCAGTAGATTATCCGATTCTCCGGTAACAACTAATTCCTCAATGGATTTGTATGGTAGTCGATGCTTCAGTTTAAACGTCTTCAACGTGTCTAAAATATAAACTGCGTTCTCTGTTAAAATTAATACCCTCTCACGGGGTTTGTAGCCATGTCGATCGTATTTAACAACAGGGGCGGCATACTGGAAGAGATTATTAATAATTTAAAATATCTTTGAATGGAAGATACAAATCTCGAGTAGGAACAGATGTTTTACTTTTATGGTTTCATCTCTGGGAAGAATATTGCTGATGAAACTTTGTTTCAACGCTTTGTGTTCAGCTCCAAGTCGATCGTACAGGAATCTTGAACCCACACTCTTCGGGTACGATTTCTTTTTACCTTTGAATAGAGATTCCGCTAAAACCTTTAATTCGAAATGTTCTTTCTCCTCCTTCGACAATGCCAGCCTGTATTTACGCGCTTTCCATTTTTTATACATGACGCGCAAGTGTTCGGAAGCCTAAATTGAACAGATTATTTTTTGTAAAAACACTTCTAGATACGTCTAATACAATGATCGTCTTACTTCTCGACAAGAATAGGGACACGGGGGCCAATAATTATTCAGGACATCTTTCGGAAGTGTTTTAGAGAGCTTGATTAACCATTGGCGTTTCGCTAATTCGATAAAAGCCCTGTTGACATCGGTCGGTGGCCCGTTTCGCGTGATGAATCCTTCGATAAATCTGCAGAAAATTATTTATGATTATGTATATTCTCTCTCTGGGAACATCTAAAACGTACCTTCGTATAGTGATGGCAGCTTTTCGTCTCCTTTCTGCTTCGCGTTTTGCTAGCCATCGACGAATATACGTTTGAAAGACTATCGTGGCTTTCCTCAGCTTCAAGTATCTTCGTCGTTCCAATATGCATTTCCATTTGCTTTGAATGATGGCTGCTATTTCGTGTTTCTTCCTTTGGAAAGCATCTTCGGTATTGAACAATGTTTTAGGGAAACGAATGAACAACTTCGTGCTACGCAAAAAGTATTTAGTATAACAACGCGTCTTTTCAATCGGTAGAAATGTTTGATTCTTTGAGCGATCCTTACTTGCCCATTCTGTATTCGTCTGCTTCGTAACCAAGATGGCACACAAGACTCTGCACACCCTCCTTGGCAGAGCCATGATAATTAGGCCATGTTTGTGGACACAACGACTTGTAACGTTGTAAAAATTGTTCATACGGTCTTCGGTATGCGAATCCAGCTCGCCTCACTCGTAGATTTTCCATCAGACCCAAGTACTTCACTTGGTGAAGTATAATTTTCTCATTGAATTGATCTACGGGTTAACACAATCGTTTTCAAGCTCGCGAAGCAATATCTAAATACAATTAGAATTCGAGGAACGTACTGGGCTTCTTATAATCGTTGGGCTTGATGCACCGAATGTAAGAAGGTTCTTTACCCATGAGGATCTCTACCAGGTTGTTCAAACTGTTTTTGAATTGCGTAATAGCTGTCTCCGGTCGTTTCTTACTGGTTAAATCTTTCTTCACGCTGAACAGGCTCTGAGGAATCATAAATTTTAATACGGAAAACTCGAGGCAACGGCTGCATGTGAATTAGTGAAAGTACCTTGGTAATTGAATTCGTGGTGTGCGACATTACTTCGCGCAAGTCCCTATATAATAAGTCATTATTTTTCTCGAGGAACCCACGGACATTGTACGTTACATCCCCAGCGTAATGTATCAATCTAAATTCCTAAAGTACGATCACATTTGAGAAAATCATAATAGAATATTAGACGAAGAACTTACATCGCGTCCCATAATCTTTTGTGTCTGTAAGTCCGCCTTCATGTGACTTATATAATGAGGATGATTGTTCAAGTTCACGTTTAACTTTTCCAGAAAGCTTAAATCTGTTGGTTCTCCAGGACGAAGGCATTCCTCGTCCATCAAGGATATAATACCTACAAGTGTTTATATATCACAGCGTAATGAAAGTTGGCGATTCTTCGATTTGATACCCACCTTTATACTTTTCTTCTATTAAGTCACATATAACTTTGTTATTAAAATATTGAATGTTCTCCCAAGCTATTCCCTCCCTCAGATATTCCTCCTGTTCCGATTTCAATGTTAGCTGAATGAACAACTGCTGCAGCTTCTCGTTGCAATAATTTATGCAGAACTGTTCGAAGCTGTTGAACGATACATTCGATCAGTTATAGAATACGCCTCTGAATTCTGTGCAACGTGTACCTGTTCTTCTGGAAGATTTCGAAACCGTAAATATCCAGAATTCCTATGATCATCTTTCGCGACTGATTGTGAATCGGCTGTAGGGATTTGTTCAACCTGGTCACGAGCCAGGTGAACAGTCTATCATACACGGCTTTCGCCAACGCGTCCCGTGCATAAATCGCGAATTCTCTGTTCAATGGGGAAACGACCACATCGCCGTGGGCGTCTATAGTGCGGTTCGTAAACGCGTCCGCTAGTCCCTTCACGTCGCAGCCCAACAACTGCAGACATTAGTAATAAAAATATTTGATTTATTGCACATAGGAGATTGTTTTATTTTTTCATACTCGTCTTAAGAATCTCGTGTACTTACGGCGGCAACAGCTTCGACGGAAGCTGGCTTCAAGATTTGCGCCACGCCGTCCTCCTCTGTGAAACCAACGTTTCCCATATGCAATACCGATGCGACTATCGCGAATAAATCGTCCTGTTCCTGTTGAGTCATCTCCATGGTTTTCATCGCCTTTACTACCTCCATGTATTGAGCCTCGTCGTCGATATTATCCATGTTCCCTTTCGTCTAATGATCAAGCATGTCGCAAGCATGTTTCATAATGCGTACATATGTATTAACAGACTGCGGGTTTCGTGCACTTATAGGAATATAGAATTTACGGAAAATACGAAATCTATTTAAAATATAGGAAATATCAAAAGCTGCATGTCACAATGGATTTCTGTAATTCTAGCTAAATCACGTTTTCTTAAATTGATACAACAAATGTATTATTTGGATATCCGCAGTCTATTGATTAGAAAGTAAAAATAATAGCTTACCCCATTACTGAGGTAATAGTACGTATCTAAATTTCTCTTTAAGTACAACTTCCTTAAAGTCTCCTCGCTGGCTCCAGCCAGTAGTTGATAAAAAATATGGAAATTACGTTCTCCTGAAAACTGATGAACCACTCGCGATTTCTCAAGCAGGTAATTCAAGATATTCCCACCGATCGGATCTCCCTGGAGAAACACCGAAGTTTAACTCGTGAAACTATATTTTTCTCATACGAATATAAGACGTATTATATGTATAGGATGAATCGATAAGGAATAACATTTTTTTTTAGACAACGATTATAATTAAAGATAAAGGTAGTGAGACGTTATTTCGTTTGTACCTGGAAATTAAACTGGATGTCCATGTACTTGCCGAAACGGGACGAGTTATCATTGCGATTAGTTTTCGCGTTCCCGAAAGCTTCGAGCACCGGGTTGCTACCGATCAATTTATCATTCACTTCCTCCACTTGTTTCTTGTGCCCGGTGGCAGCCGCGATAAATTCAAGCACCTTCTTCGAAGCTTCGGTCTTCCCTGAACCGGATTCACCTACGCAGTTACGCAGTCCAACGAATTCATTACAAATACATATTTCACAGTATAAATATCATAAATCTTAAAGTCTTAATAAGAATGACATTTTCATACCAGAAATTAAAATGCATTGATCCCGATTTTCGTTCAACAAAGACTCATAAGCGGTACCCGACAATGCAAAACTGAAATAAAATCATTTTTAATTACTGTATAAGATTGAACACTGCGGTTCATCGTTATCGCTCTTGCTTCTTACATGTGCGGCGGCGCTTCGAAGAAGTTCCTCCCTTGATAATACTGGATGGTTTCCGTGTTGTAAATTGGTAATTTCTTATAAGGATTCACGGAGATGAGTACTTGACCGATATATGTCTAAAAAAGAAAGTTAATGCTTTCCTTTTCTTATCTCTTTATAAGTTCGTATGTTTATCAGAGACGCTGTTCCTTGAACGAGTCTCGGGTACTCATTACGATTTCTAATTATATTCAGAAAAATATCGAAACTAAAGGAAGTAACTATAAGAAATATTATAAAAAGAAGAGTCCCAATGATTATGTCTTGTCATCAGATTCAACAAGTTGACTTAAAAATTCTAATCAATTTTTCCAAGCATCTTCTTGCACGAACGCTTTGCATACTCGTTGATACAGGAAGTAAACGGTGTCAGGCGCCTTATGAAGATTAATATCATCCACTCACGTAGATCAGGTTCTCGTTGAAACGCTTTCTCAGATTATCGATGAACGCCTCCTCGCTCTGGAAGTCCTCGAGGAGAACGAAGTCCTGGACACCGACCCGGTCACGCTCGTGTAGACCGCGTTCCATGTTCTTGCGTACCTCGTGGCCAGACCTGAACACGTCCGGTGCCTCACCGGAACCGCTCACACCACCTCCACTGTCGAATACCGTGCTCGCCTCACTGTAACAGAAGAAGAAATCCTTTACTAACAAGCTTTTCCTCACCGGATGGAGTTTTCCAAGCGATTGAAATTTTACATAAAATTATAACAAGATAAAGATACAGCAATTATAACGCGATGAACTGAATGTATTATAATTCAATTATAATCCAGCGTTCCTTTATGAATCTGTTGTAGAAAATAAGTTCTGTCTTTAATGTAGACATAGATGTGCGTGTGATCGAGGTGGTGAGTGAATGTGAGAATGTCGCAGAGTTCAGAACAGCCGAAACGTAGTAAATACGCAACATGATTGGAGTTTCCCAGAATTTTGGAATTCCGAGAAGCAGCCAGTAAGAAAAATACGAAGATCGACTGACCAGTACGGTATCGTCGATCATTAAGTTGTTCGACGAGTATTCAGAATCTAAAACCGATCAAATCTAATTTGATTTATTCAAGAATGAAATATGAAGTTTTCTAATGAAGTGTGCAATAAATAAGGACAATCAGGTAAAATTGATCGCGGCTGATACGAGTAGGAGTATGTATGCTTTCGTTATATGATACTAAACGCGAGAAAGTGCAGATCGTGCGTATTGTTCGACCACCGGAAACGAAATCAACACCCTGAACTTCGATGGCGTTTCACGCGATCGGTGTCGATTTTCCGCTGTGCGGTTGCGTTCGACCGTCGACGCGGATACGTAATTGAAAAATCAGTAAACATAGACGATCGTCTCGTTTTCCTGTTACCGAAATCGCGCGACTCTTATTTTCCTTAATATTTCCACAATTTTATTCAGGGGTCAAATTAGATTCGGAAACTGAAATAGTACAGATTTTTTAAGAAATATCTGTTTTTAAAAGAAACGTTGAATCAGATCAGATGTACACGTAATGCGTGTTCTATTTTCGAAGCTTCGTTCCATCAATTGACATAGGGAGATAGACATTAGAACAATTGCGGATGATAAACTCCCTGATTAGATACCGAAGTAGTGTTTAAAGTCGGATAGGAGATCGATTAAGTACTGTAACGCTCGAACTTTGCTACGCATATTATTTAGGAAAATTCCTTACTTCGAAACGAACTACTTTCAACTAATAGACAGCCTCCAACTTTATATTTCACAAACTATACAATCATAGTTTTAATTCTTGTCTCATGAGCCAAGACTCACAGAGTTCTCGAACAAAAAATCAATAATGCAAGGATTTAACGTTTCTGCACTTCACTATCGAAGTTCACCCAAGAGACTAAAATGGGTAGGCTACACAAACTGTCAGGTAGACGATTGTTAACATCGAACGGGTTTGGTGGAACCACCTTTGCCCCACCCTTTCGTCTCGGGGTTAAATCAAACTTGCTCCTTCTCGTATAGATGCAAAGAGGGGTAGCTTCCACAAACTCGTTCCACTTTATTTCTGCTTGTCATGCAGTTCTTCATGACTATATTGCAATATCACATTTCATGAAAAACTGTTCCTGTAACTTCAAACCTTCAAATACAGAACTATGAAAATTATTAATGAAATTACTTCTATTTGTATTTTTAACAAATATTTCTTTTGGGGAATAACAGGTCGACTTTGATAAACTCACCCCATGTCTCACCGACGTTCTCGCACCCTGCTAAGTACAGAGAATGAGATTAACGAATAAAGCGATCGGTGGTTAAATGATTTCGCGTGCGTTAGAGGCTCGGTGCTCTCGCAACTGATGCTCGTTCTCGTTGCTTGTACTGTTTAGATCACGCGATAAGATACACGGTAATACGTGGAAAGCCGATCTCGATTTCGCTCGATGATAATCTAGCGATCGATCACCAGTGACGTTATTCATTTCATTTTCAATCAGCAAGCCCTATCGATCGTCATTCATCCTACAATTTGTACTATGAATCTCAAATCTTGACTCAATCAATATAATTATATAT